GGAGAGGGAGAAGCAGGCTTCCCACGGAGCAGGGAGCCCGATGCGGGGCTTGATCCCAGGACCCTGGGATCATGACCTGAGCCGAAGGCAGACGCCCAATGACTGAGCCACCCAGGCGCCCCTCTAATCCCTACTTCTGCTGCTTCATCACTTAGGTGTCACCCAGAAGCAAAGGGAAATGTATAATCCCAGCCCAGGGCACATCCTGAGGCCACACAGCAGGCCCTGCTCAGAGCAGTGATTTTAATACTTTTTGGGCAACTGGCAGAGGAATCAGTCCCAGAACTGAGGATTCAATAAGATGTTCTTGCAGAACAGGCCCTAGAGTTTGGAGTAGAGTCAAAGGTGAAAGGGAAGGTGCCCGCAGATGTTCCTCATCATAGTATTTCGAATTCTTCCCAGGGTCAGCACAAGCAAACATGGCTTTAGAGACAAAAATGAATGTAGGGATGTTAGAACCAAGTAAATATCCAAAAAGGGGCCACATGACTGCAAATGCCCCTTCTCAATAAAACAGGTTTTAATTGGTGGAGACTCTTTAGCTTATTGGTGTGTAAGAAATGCAGGAATAAATCCTTTCCAGTAGGAAATATCCTTCTCAAAGGCCCTTATCACAGGACAATCCTAATAAGAGCCTTGCGCTCCATCTCCTTGCACTTGCCTGTCTCCTCTGCCCTTGGTTATGTTCACCAGCTTCTCTATCCCCCCTGAGTCGGCCAGAGCTTTGGCGTTCTCCATGTTTTTGCTGGTGACCTCGTGCAGAGCACAGCAGATGGCCGCCATGGTCTCATCAGACAGCACACTGGGGCCAGTGCCGCCGGGAAGCCGGTTGACCAGGTCTCGCATGGCATATTTACCTGCCAAATGCAAAAGATTTCATTCCACTTTCAGTTTTTGTTATTGTTGCTGTTGAAAGATGCTGACAGTGAGTTCTCTCTTAAAAACATAACCTCATAAGACAATAACATGGCAAAGTAGAAAGTGACAAATATTATAACTGTAGGGGGGAAGTTAATGTTTATTACAATGCCACTTGAAGAAATGATTGGTCTATAAAACAAGCCACTGAAAGAAAATGCAAGTCAGTGTATAAAACTGGGTATACCAATCAAGTTGCTATAGTTGAACTATTTTCATTAACAGTGAGAAATAAAGAAATGGTAACAGTTTTATTCTCAATTGAATTCCTATGTATCAAAAATACCTGAACATCCTCTTAAAGCTTTTAAAGACTTATCTTTGAATAAGTTTTAAAGATGGACCAAGTAAAGCTGCCACACAATTCTTTTCATTAAATCTCTCTGGGTCTTAAATTGTGAACTGGGTACCATTACCCATTTTTATCAAGTTAAACGTAAATACCAGCTGATCCGACATCAATAGTGATAACATGTTAGTTTCTTTTAACCAGACACAAGTGACATTTGGAATTAAAATGATGGCTACGTTATCGGGTAGGAATGATGCAATGATAATAGAGTTCTCGACAGGCCAAGGCTGGGGAGCCCCCTAGCTATTGAAGCATTTCTTTACAGATACTCAGTTTCTCTTACTTCTCTCTAAAACCAAAATATCTCTAGCTTGTTCAATGTTAATTACCAACTGACAAACTAGAATAATTGCACAACACACAGAAGAAATGAACTAAAGCTCAAGTAAATATTTTCTTAGTTTTTTTTTTCTATGCTAATAATTGAGTGGATACAAAATGGGGTTTTTATTGAAGTCCTATTTATATACAATGGTAAGCAGTAGAATACAGGCCTTGACTACACGCTGCATAATTTACAGCATTTCAAAGGGAAGGCTTTGGCTTACTCACAGTGAACATTGTTGTGAATAGTAGAAAAACAATGTTGACATTATAAGCCAGAAGATAAATGTGGTTTTTAGAACAGATGGAATTTAGCACTGGTGATTTTGAATACTCACGGAAAACCAAAATGTCCATGACACACAGTTCGTCATTTTGCTAAGGCACAACTTTAAATTGCCCCCTGAGATTGGGATAAGGCAGCTCACTGTGTCTGCGAGTGAACCTGATGGTCCCCTCAGATCCTGCAGCTCTAGACAGCTGGGCTGGTCCAACTCAGCTGAGTATCTGTAGTAACTTTTGTAAAGTGACAAAACTTTGTTTCCTTGTAAAAAATGGCTCTGAAGAGGAAGTCCATTGCTAGTGCTGGTGATGGACATGAGCAGAGTTAAGGGGTCCAAGAAGGGGGATGGTTCTTTGGAACAGAGGTGCTGAGTGAATTAGGGTCGAATACTGAATCTGGGAGGGGCTTAGCCCTCAGGAAAGAAGGGAACTTTATAGAGAAATATGAAAGTGATTCATGAAACCATTTAAGAGTGCTCCAGCTGGGTACAAATATGCTCATAGGTGGAGAGAGAAAATGCTCGTGAAAGTTTACAAGTGGGTCAGGACCCTCACAGAAAACACAGGGATGCACTGAGAGAAGGCCAGGACTCTCATACACGTTCCTCCTGCCCAGAGGTCTTGGCACTCAGTGGCACCAGCCCCACACCTTTGCACCTGTGTCCCCTCCCCGCTGTGGCATGATAGGCCACACGTCATCATATGCTGTCAACCCTTTATTTTTTAGCATTAAGAATTCCCAAACTATATGTGCTTCTTACAAGAAATTCAAACACTATGGATGTAACAAAAATAACTTAAAAAATCTCTTTAGGGACCTAAAGGATTTCTCTCAAGGACGTGTGGGAACTAAGAGTTATAAAGCATACTGGCATTAGGCACCAGCTGGACTGTATGAACAGGGTGTGGAAGAAGCTCCTCTTCTCTCCGTGGGGGACAATTTGGCTCAAAGGAATGGTGTGTTAAGAGCAGGTTAAGCTAGGTGATAATTTAAAATAGCAATTCTGCCAGGCACTGTGTAGGAGCTTTCATGTAAGATGCCACAGTGAATCCTCACAGCAACTCTTTAAGGTAAATACTATTGCCCTGTTCTTTGTCTCCCCCGCCGACCCTGCCCCAGGGTAGGCATATTTTAAGGAGTTCAATACTTATTCACTAATCCACATAAGATCCTGTCAAATCTCCCCCCTCCCTCTCTCCTGGCCTGTCATCAGCCATGGGGCTGGCGTGGAGCTCGGCGCTGCTTCATCCTCTTATTTGATATGCACGGCAAACCCGTGGTAAGGACAGCGAGGTGGTCGGCTCCCTTTCAGAGATAGGGTTGAGGAAGAGTTTTCAAATTTAGATGAAATACCCGAAGCTGGGTGGGCTCACCACAGGACACCCCAGGTTACCCAGCCAGTGAGAAGCAGATCCAGGGTTTAACTTGAGGTCAACTGGAGAGTCTCTGATCTTTCCTCTACCCTGTACTCTGCTTGAGTGTGGCAACTGCCTTGGGGGCAAGCAAACTAAGCTGCCGAGGGTGTCAAACTTGAAGAGGTGCTCAGTGTCAGGTTCATGCAAATGCCAACCTTACATATGGACAGCCCTGTGGGTGGGTGCCTCCTACCATTTTACACCCTATGTGCCTCACTTGCTTTAGTCTAGTTCTGACCCTGCCCTGGGGGGGAAATGGGCCTTGTGACAGTGGTTCTGCCTGAGCATGAACACTAGGGAAAAGCGACAAACCATTTATGTAATTTCTTTTTTTATTTAGATCATGGTAGTGTTGGTAAATTAGCAGATATCAGTCTCAAAAATCAGAAAGTGAGAATTAACTTCTTTTGTTGCTCAGGAAATGAACCTCTCTTGGGAAACAGAGACACCAAATCTATCAAGCAGTGTTGTAATGTATAACTGAAATTGCTACCTTTTTTGAAAATTTTCCTTCCCTGATCAATGTTTAATTAATGAGCTTGCCTCTTGCTGAAAAGGAATAGTCACAAAGGACAGACAGCACAAAGGGTACACAAATATGCCAAGAAACCAGAGAGCAGAACTCAGTTGCTGATCATTTTAAATGTCATATTTTTATAAATCAAGAGTTTTTTGTTTTTTTTTTTTAAAGTAGGCTCCACACCCAGTGTGGAGTCCAACACGGGGCTTGAACTCACGACCCTGAGATCAAGACCTGAGCTGAGATCAAGAGTCAGATGCTTAGCCGACTGAGCCACCCAGGCACCCCTAGTTTTATAAATGTAGTTACTTTTTCTTTATAACTTACCTTGTCACCAGAACATACCTATGAGCTCCTTGTTGCGAACATCTAGCGCCATATTCCTCAAGGCAGTTGCCACCGAAGAAACAACTCTATCATTATCCATTCTCAGAAGTTCTACAAGGATGGGCAGACCTTTTTCTTTGCGGACAGCCGCCCGGATGTATGCTGCAAACTAGTGAGTAAAACAAACCAATAGTAGTTCAACTCTCAGAAGTTACTGCCACCTAAAAAAGATGTGTTTCCAGAAGATAAACTAATAGATTAAAAATGTTTTCTTTTCAATCAGAAATTAAATCTGTGGTGTCAGTAAAGAAAAAACTATAGTTAGGGACAAAGACAGGCTAGGATGACTGATGTAAAAAGAAATCCTAAAGCCTAAAAATCTCAAACCACCATCTGCCATATATTTTTGTGCAGAAAAGAGAAGGCAGTGATTGCTTTCAGATACATAAACATGATTAAGGAAGGATCTTGGGTCTTCTCTGCAATTGGCCCCATGCCAGGTCCAGAGGCTATAAATAGGATGGCAGAAACGGTAACTGATCAGTGTACATTATAGGAGAACCTGTCTCCATCAGTACATTCTTTTCCTATATTCTCTGCAACAATATTTAGAGTTCAGTAACCTTTCAAAGAGATTGACTGAAAAAAAGCCTTTGCCTCAGAAGAAAAGGAATTCTCCAGAAACACTGAGCATCTGTAATTCATACAGACTGGTGAAAAAGTATATTTGTGTGCAAAATGCTTTCTTATGCAAGATTAGTTTGCTGCTTCTTTTTTAAATTCATAGTCAAGAAATTCTTTTATGGCTATGAGGCAAGTCTGTTCAGCGAGTCAGCGTGTGTACTATTTGAATTGGAAATGAACGCTAGCTAAGTCATCAGGGAAATAACCAAAAAAAAAAAAAAAAAAAGGAGCATTTGAAAATTGGGTCTTTAATTATGTTTTGAGTTTTTATTGACATTTTTTACCAATGCAAACTGTTTTTCAAAATTTAGGATAATTGAAAAATGTTGCTCATAAAATATCTAATACTTTCCTGCTGTGGTCAAGACATGAGGACAAAGATGGGCCAAGCCTTTTGTATTATTTTGAACATTAAAATATATGATTGACCACTCAGTTTCTTTTTTTTTTTTTTTAAAGATTTTATTTATTTATTTGACAGAGAGATAGCGAGAGCAGGAACACAAGCAGGGGGAGTGGGAGAGGGAGAAGCAGGCTTCCTGCCGAGCAGGGAGCCCGATGTGGGACTCGATCCCCGGACCCTGGGATCATGACCTGAGCCGAAGGCAGACGCTTAACGACTGAGCCACCCAGGCGCCCTGACCACTCAGTTTCTTGAATACCAACAGAATAGATTACTTTAATAATGCAAGTAAGAGGAAGAGATGCATTTCAAAGATCCTATTAACATTCTTTATATGAAACAAATACTCCTATTTTCTAAATCAAATGAAATCTATGGGGGGGGGGGTGCAAGGAAATGGAATATATGACTTTCTACAGAGTAAAGCACCCAGGCAGCTTTCTCAACTTCTCTCTGAAATCTGCAAGGACAGAGCCAACACCTGTCTCACCTGGAGACCACCTGGCCTGGCCCAGCCCAGCCCAGCCCAGAGTGTTTCCCTTTGGGGGCACTATAGTCATCACCACTCCCAAAATAGCTCCTGACTTGATAACATCTGTATCTTGTTTTCTTAATAAGGATCTAATATTTTGATTTATTATTTTAGATACTTTTGAAATGATTTTAATATAGTATTTATATTTTAAATGAGCTTGCCATCTAACTTTCATTCACTAAATGACTCCAGAGGTGAAATTAAACACAACTCAAATCACATCTATTTCAATACTGTCTTTTTTATTGTCATCAAATGTATCTCTTGGGTCACAAGAAACTGGATGCGAACACTGGGTTACCAACATAAATATTTATGAATAATTATGTGCCACACACTGTCCTAGGTCCTTCGTTTTTTTTTTTAATTTTTAAAAATTTATTATCTCATTTAGCTCTTACAACCACCTCATGAGATAGGATGGAAAGATCCAAGACCCCTAGCTAATAAGTGGAAGGGCCAGGATTCAAAACCAAGGGGTCTGGCTGCAGAGCCAGCACTTAGATGCTGAGCTATTAGCATGTTAATTAAGAACAACAATAACAAAATAACCGTGCTGGCTTAGCACTAGGCCATAAATATCTGTATACATTCATTATAGCAGTTGACTGCACGAAACAAACCACACCTAGCCTGACCGATGCTTTTCACTCTCATGGATAATACAGTGGCCAGAAGATCCTCCTTTTGGGAGGTGGTGGTGGAGGAAGTAGCCAAAACAAGCATTATAATAACTCTACTAAAATACCCTTGTCAGAAAACTCAAAGGCAACCTCCGGAATGGGAGAAGATATTTGTAAATGATGTATCTGATAAAGGGTCAGTATCTAAAATCTATAAAGAACTTATCGAACTCAACACCCAAAAAACAAATAATCCAGTTAAGAATGGGCAGAGGACATGAAAAGATATTTTTCCAAATAGGACATACAAATGGCCAACAGATGCTCAACCTCACTCATCATCAGGGAAATACAAATCAAAACCACGATGAGATACCACCTCACACCTGTCAGAATGGCTAAAATTAACACCACAGGAAACAACAGATGTTGGGGAGGATGCAGAGAAAGGGGAACCCTCTGTGTACACTGTTGGTGGGAATGCAAACTGGTGCAGCCACTCTGCAAAACAGTATGGAGGGTCCTCAAAAAGTTAAAAATAGAACTACCCTATGACCCAGCAACCACCCTACTAGGTATATACCCAAAGGACACAAAAATAGTGATTCAAAGGGGCACAGGCACCCCGATGTTTACAGCAGCTTTATCAACATAGCCAAACTATAGAAAGAGCCCAAATGTCCATCGACTGATGAATGGATAAAAAAGTTGTGGTATATATATATATATATATATATATGTATACACACACACATACATACCACAATGGGATATTACTCAGTCATAAGAAGGAATGAAATCTTACCATTTGCAATGACGTGGATGGAGCTAGAGTGTATTATGCTAAGTGAAATAAGTCAGTCAGAGAAAGATAAATACCATATGATTTCAGTCATATGTGGAATTTAAGAAACAGATGAACATAGGGGAAGGATAAAAAAGGGAGGCAAAACATAAGAGACTCTTAGCTATAGAGAACAAACTGAGGGTTGCTGGAGGGGAGGCGGGGATAGGCTAAATGGGTGATGGGCATTAAGGAGGACACCTGCTGGGATGAGCATTGGGTGTTATATGTCAGTGATGAATCACTACATTCTACTCCTGAAACCAGTATTACACTATGTGTTAAAACTAACTAGAATTTAAATAAAATCTTGAAACAAAAAAAATATACTTGTCAGGAAATATTTAGAGGTTGAAAATATTTCAGAAAATGATTGTCTGGGAAGGTGGCAGATGATGTTTAAAAGTTTTGAGAACCTCTTACAGTGGTAACAGTAGGAAACCACTTTCAATTTTCATAAAGAAGTCATACACCTTTAAGGAGATGTGGTAACTTTTGCCATAGGTATGTTCTGTAAGCGTCCGAGAGAGGACCAGCGGCCGCTCTCCCCTGCAAGCGCTGCCCTAGCTCAGCACTAACTCAGGCCCCTGGCATGTTCAGCACAGAATCCCAGTCTCTACTTTCCTCTTCTGTGAATTCATCTTCTGCACCGCAGCACAAGTATCCACATCTGTGTCACCTATCTGCTTAACCCCTTTTAGTGGCCCTTCTGGTCTGCAGGTCATATCCCAGCTCCTGATGCTTGGCCGTCAGGCCTATCTACAATGCCTGGTCCAACCCGGGCCATGCTCGCGCTGCCCTTGATGCCCAGCACCCATCCTGCGGTCTCCACCACACTGTCCTTTTCTTACCTCAAGGCATTTCTTCTCTTGTCCCTTTCTCTGGATCACTCCCTCTACACCTCTAACCTCAGACGCTGCTGCCTTACTTCGGCTCATTGAAAGATTCCATTTGGGCAGCACCATCTCTCCAGGAAACCTTCCCTACTTGGCTCCCCTCTTTGCCTTTCTCAAAACTGCCAGGCTGGGTTAGATGTCCTCTTTTAAGATCCCACAGTACACATATCCCGTGTGTACCACATATCCTACACTGTATCTTCTTGATCTGTATATTTTTCTTGCTAGCCTTCAGTTTGTACAGGAAGGGCTGTGTCACATTCATCTCTGAGCCTAGAGCCAACTGCTATCGCCCCCCGCTTTTGTCCTAACAACTGGGTCCCTTTCACCATCATTGCTGGTCTGGCTGCACAGATGGAAAGAAGTGTGGACCCCCAGAGGACATCATACCTTCCAGTTTCCGGCAGAGAGGTTCTGGAGAGATCCGGCAGAGCCTTCCAAGGTGGCTGGGTTGGAACTTTCTGCTAGAAGAGTCAGATATGGTTTTACCACTGACGGATGCCACAGCATCTCAACCCCTTTGGGGGACTTTGACAATCCTGGGATAGGACCAACTCCATCCCACTGAAAGACAAAGAGCACACGTGAAATGGAAGCAAATGAACACAATCTCCAATACTTGAAAACATCCCTCTGCTGGATTCAGCTAGAGTTAGGTAGAAAAACTGTATAATGAGAAATTTTCTTTTCTTGCCAAATATGTGATTTCTTACTCCTAGAAAAATGAAACCTTAGAGTTTCATGTCAAATAAAATGCTAACTTGATCCTCTTGTGGTGTTCTCTTTTTCTTTTTCTTTTTCTTCCCCCAGCAGCTTGGCTCTGAGTCCTTGCTGGGAGACTCTTTTCCTAGTAAGTCATCCAGCTCACTCAGCCCCAGCAGCCGGGCCTGTGGGACCTCCAGTTCCAGCCGATAGGACAGGTTCCTCAGGGTGCACACGCAGTTCTCCACAGTCTGCAAACCAACACGGCGTATAATTAAAACCATCGTAGCACATTATTGCAAAATGCTTCTGTACTGAGCAGCAGTGAGCTTAAGTAAATGTAGAATATGAGAGAACTGCTTTTTTACTTATGGGAACCTGAAACAAGCTAGGGAAAGAATTACGATTCTAGAATTTTTGTGGGGTACCCAAATGACAGAGTGCAGAGCCATCCAAACTACATCTGCGGATCTGATTTCGTGCTGATTAAAATGTGCAAGACTCTGGCAGAGAAAACGCCCAGTGTTTCTGCTTCAGAGTTGCTGCAGAGGCAGAGAGGCATCCAAGTTGCCAGAACCTCACTCCTTCTTGCCATTAAACGTCTTCACCATGACAAGAGGTACGAGTAACCCCATCTCCGGGGAAGGCCCTCCCCCCAAGTCGCATCTTTGGCCTTTCCAGCCATCTCCAAACTCTCCCCTCCCTCTGCGGAAAGTCCCATGATCTCTTTGTGACATTTTGCCTTCTGTACATGGTCTTTTGCTTCTTAAAGTCTGTATCACACCTCTGATTGAGAGGCTAACTGTGACTTCATGGAGAGCATCTAAAGCCAAGCTCAGCTCTTTCCCAGGAAGCTCTCCTTCCAACTTGCTTACTCCTCTCAATTTCATCTACAGATCTTTTGGTTCAACGAGGTTCAAATAAAAACTTGTACATCACTTTGAACTTTTCCCCTGCCTTCTCCCTGAGCCTACCACTCATCATCCTTTTCTCTCTCAGACCCATGTTTATGACACAAAGGCTTACTTAAGGCCTCTCCTCATCTAGCCCATCCTGAAAAGCAAATACCTGGCGTACCTTGGAACTCCTGGCACTTTTAGTCCCTCCTTCCTATTTCTTGCCACCTTCCTCAGTCCCTGCTCCTGCGGCAGATCCTAGATGGTTGTCACAGCTAAAAAATGATGAGGAGAATGCCCTGTGCTAGGATGGGGAAAACAGGAGGGGAGCAGAAGGGGCTCCTACTGGGAACAGACTAACCAGCAGGACAACAGAGGGAGGGGTGAAAGGGCAAGACTGGGGATGTAGAGAAGTGGGTCTGGGGTGGGGGCTATGGCCTGCAGTGGGGCTAGAAAGGCAGAGGGGTTGGTGGGTTATAGCGCCTCGACCCGGAATGTTTATTCACTAGATACTCAAATACAGATGGACTGGATTCTAGCCACAGGGGAAATGGCTGGAGACAGCAGTAGCAGGGACAATCACAGTGACAGCCCAAGAGAACCACAAAGTCGGGACCCTGCCACCCTGTGCTTAGTCCTCGGCCACACGGAGTCACTTGGTTTTCATGGTTTTAAGGCTATTTTCTTAAACTGTCATGTCCCTGTTAATTTGTCATTTTTAGAGAGACTCCCCTTAATCTGGAGTATAGTGTAATGAGTAGGAAAGGCTCAAGAATTCCAGGAAGAATGAGTGGCACGCCAAACGCAGAGTCTGGCAGCTGTTGTCACCTGCCATCTGGCCCTCGTGGCCAGCCAGCACTGACCTTGCTGTCGTAATCGGATGTGTTCACACACGTGTGGATCACGTACAGCAGCGAGTCCACCAGCCCCTCACAGGATCGCATTTGCTTCCTGGCTTCCTCCCCTGCGGAGCTGAGGTTCCTGAACGGGCAGAGAGACACACGGGGGCCGCTGAGATGAGCAGCTCGCTCCTTAGCCAGGGAGCCTCACCTTACCATCTGACAGGTCGGACAAGACAGCAGCCATGTAGATCCCGTGTGAGGAGACACTTTAACATCGTGAGAACTCACCGTAACCAGCTCCCCATTATCCACCCACACAGAAGGGAGCAGGGCCATCTGAACTCTGTCTCCCTCCTATGACACACCACTTTCTAACCTCCTAAAGACTGTTTTGGGGTCTAGCCTCCTCAGTTTCCTCATATGTAAAAAGGGTAGAATAATACTGATCACCTCATAGGGTCCGTGTGTGGAAGCGACGCTCCATATAAAGGCAATTAGAAAAGTGCCTGCAATGTCTGTTAGCCATGGTTGTTATTTTTAGACATGCTCTGCTTCCCCTGTTGGGCCACCATGGCTGGCAGGCCCCTGCACCTATTACAATGTTTTGCCTATAGTTGGTGGTCATAAATGCTTCCTGAATGAACAGAAGAAATGTCATTTCTTGTATAACCATTCACGTTAAATATGGACATTTGCTTATGCTATAATTTTTCTCATTTTTTCAAATATAAAAAACCCTGAGATTTAGGTCTCATCCATATTGAAACTTTTTTCTTTTTAAAGATTTTATTTTTAAATAATCTCTACACCCAATGTAGGAATTGAACTCCCAATCCTGAGATCCAGAGTCACGTGCTGTACCGACTGAGCCAGCCAGGTGCCCCCATATCGAAACTTTTGATATCAGTTTACCTTCATGAATTGATACCAAATTTTAAGGATCTATTTTATGTCTTATTAACAAGGGTTCTAGGCTAACTCTGAGATTTTGTAAAAACTTAGGCCAAATAATGGGGATTTGGAATGATTTTTCTTTTCGTCTTTATTTTTCTGGGGCCAGAGAGACAGTGTCATCCATGGTCCCTCCTCTGCTCTTTATCTTGTGTCACTTCTCAGCAGCACTCAACAGCTGCCATCTTCCATTCCTTTACAAGCCTCCGGGACCCTTCACTTCTTTGGTTTTCCTCCCATCTTGCTGCCTTTCCTTCTCAGTCTCTTTTGTTGGTGGGTGCCTCTGGAGTGCCGGACTACTTTGGTCCCTTCTTACCTTTATCTTTACATTCTCATAGGTGGTCTCCTTCTCTCCCTTGGCTTTAATACAACCTATGGGCCCATGCACGACTCCCAAGCATCTACCTTTAGGCTGACCCCTCCCTAAAACTCCAGGGTCCTTTATCCAACTGCTTTCTTGGTATTACTCCATGGGTAGCTAATTAGACATCTCAAATGGACATGGTCAAAACTCATCTGCTCATCCCTCCACCCTTTCTTCTTCCTGTGCTCCCAACTGATTCAGCCAAAGATTTAGGTATTAGCTCTCCCTCCACAAAAATATCCCCTATCTCCTACCTCGCTCCAGCACCTGGTCTAGGCCACTGTCATGGTCTGCCTGGATTGCTGCAACAGCCTCAGCCTCCTATCTCTACTGCTGCCCTTGTTCAGTCTTCACACTGAAGCCAGGATCCAGTCCCACTACTCCCAAGATTAAAGCCCTCTGACAGTCTCCCGAGGCACTTGGAATAGACTGTAAACTCCTTCCTCTGACTTCAGCAGTCCTACGTAATCTGGTGCCACTCTGTGCCTCGCCCAGTAAGCTCCAGCCGAGAGCCCACCTTTGCGCCAGAGCCATTAGACTACTTCCCTTTGCTAGGAATCCGCGTCCTCCTGACCCCACCCCGCCCTCAAACGAGCAGCTCCTGGTGGTATTTCAGATCTAGACTTCAATTTCCCCTCCTGCGAGGGGCCACCTGATCATCAAAACCATCTCCTAATAACTCTTGCATCACCATGGCATCTACCGTTATTTTCTTGTTTTCCTCAATAGAATATGGTTCTCTCAGAGCAGGGACCTGTCTTGGTCATCACTGATTGCACACAGAGGGCATGCACCAAAACTGTCTATAGCCCTGAACCACTGGGGGAGCCGGACTGGTGTGTCCTGTCTCTGGGAGGCCTGGCAGGCTGGCTAAGGAGCCCTCACAGCCGCCCTGGATCCTGGAGCAGAGAAAGGATGAGATGCTCCTTCCACAGATCATCAGTAGGTGATATAATCTGCCCTCTGATGCACGCCTCTGAGGTAGGGAGCTGGCCTGTTTCCCAGGATCCTGACTCTTGTCATCCACCCACAGCAAGGTGGCCGACAGTCACTTGTCACAATAGTGCTGCCTCAGAGCAACAGCCCAGGCTCCCTCCCCGTCTTTCAAGCTGTTACAGAGATGCCTGGATGTACGGCTTAAACGTTAGCACCCACTGCGCGTCAGATGCTACACTAAGCACTTTCTATGAGCTGATTCTTCACGAGTGTGAGATGGTGCTGTTATCCCTACTCTAAAGATGAGGAGAGGGGCACCTGGATGGCTCAGTCGTTAGGCGTCTGCCTTCAGCTCAGGTCATGATCCCAGGGTCCTGGGATCAAGCCCCGCATCAGGCTCCCTGCTCGGCGGGAAGCCTGCTTCTCCCTCTCCCACTCCCCCTGCTTGTGTTCCCTCTCTCACTGTGTCTCTCTCTGTCAAATATTAAAAAAATCTTAAAAAAAAAAAAAAAAAGATGAGGAGACTGAGGCTCAGAGTGGGGCAGGAAGCCAGGCTGCCTCTCAGTGTCACCAGGCCACTAGGCCCCAAGGCTTCCGCTTCAAGTTCCCAGAGCACTGTACACTTAGGACACCAGGTAAAAACTGAGCTGATGAGTATTAATGGCAAATAATAAGCACTCCTGTCCACACTTAAAGGAGCCTTTATGAATTTCACATCTAAAGATAATGACTTAAAACAGAATTTGGGCTCATTTTCATTTATTTATAAAACTCAAACCCAATAATTGTTTAAACCACACACCTTTTTTTGCACCTTTTAAATGCAAGAAGGTTTTAACCATCACATTTTGAATTTAAACCAAAACCAGGCTGCAGACACATTAGCAGTCAGGATGTGATAACCAGAAAAATGCTGTTAAAGTAGAAACCACTGGAATTTTGGCAGTAATTTTCAGACTGAAAGGGCCCTTTCTACTAATCCACAGAAGAGTCATTTATCAGATAATGTCTTTCAGGCCACTAGTCTGTGCTCATGATATTTTCCTCACAGGATAACAGTCCAGTGGCCTAAATTTTGAAACAAACTTAGAAATGTAGGTAAATGCTTATAAAATGAAGTAAATCCTTCTAAATCAACTTACCCATGACACATGTTATTTAATCAAAGAATTAATTGGAAAGAAGAAATAAAGAATTTACCTCAGGCAACCTGTTGTATTACGTAGAACGAGTGATGTCTGAAATTTAATTTTATGATCATCATCAAAAGAAGAGTTATTCCATCCAGAATGTGGAACGATCACAGTGTTTGTTAAGGTTGAGAGAGCATCTCGAATGATTGTCATCTTTACAGCATCACATGAAGATAAATTCCAAAGAACTCCTAATAAATGAGATTTAAAAAAATCCAACCATCAGTTAGAGATCCTGCAGGCTTAGGAATAAAACAAACGTATCAGCCCTAAGTGATATGAACTCGTCTGTTCCAAATCTAATCTATGGCCTGAATTTGCAACCAGGCAGGGGATGGACCTCTAATAAATGTTGAGTGAACATATGTGAGCTTCTGGCAGTGTATTCCAAAGCTCTACCAGTCCTTCTCTTAAGTTTTAGGGCCTATGTATCTATCAGACAAGATGACTGCGGCTTCTGCAAAGCAAATTAGAGCTACTCTTCATGGGGGAGGGGCACAGTGCAATCAAGGGTCATGAATATAACGGGCCTGTGATTGTTGTAAAGCTGTCATGCATCGCATCATCCCTTAAATTCAATGTTCTGTGTGACAAACCATTTTTAGAATTAATACTTGGAAACAATTTCTCTTTCTCAAAAGGCTGACACGTTTCTCTGTATCATGCTTCCTTTTTCTACTTTTGCTACTGGGAAGCTCAAGCTTAAATATGCTTGCGGTAACATACATAAGAGGGCGGTTACATTTGCTTCGTCTCCCTCATTTGGATAAGGCTTAAACATTTTTATTTCCACATTAAGAGTTTTATTACCACGTGCAAGTTACATTGAGTCCCTCATATTGTAATTCATATCAGGAGTACTGGGACAACAGACCTTAAACATAGCTTATTAGAGGGGCATTTAAATTGTATGCATATTAGAGTGTTTTCATTTCTGTGTCAACTATGAGGTGGGTTCAATTATTGTTACAGCACACATATTTTCTAAGAATTATTCTTTTAGAAATTAGAGCAAATTCAAGATTATACCTACTCCATGCCATTTCCCATCAATGCATTTTCCAAAGTCAGAGAAAAGGAGAGTGAGGAGAGGTGGCGCAGCTGGTACTGAGGTTCCCTCCTGATGTGTCCTTGACAAGATGCTCAAAAGCCGGTACAGTGCTTTCAGAATTATCAACACACAAAAATGCTTGAGGCCCTGTGGAGGGGAAGGAGTTGGCAAAATCCCCATTTCCGTGGGAGCACGTACTGCTTGTGAACATGACTGACCAAGAGTGTGGGGAGAACTGCGGCTCCGGTGCCCGGTAACAGCAAACTGCTCAGCCTTCTTGGGGCCTGGAGAAACGCAGGGACCTCTACAAAGGAGGGAGGTGTGAGAGAGCTGACAGGATCTCTTCCTTTTGGAGGAAGAAGTACAAGCATCGGGCTAGAACTGCAGATAGTAAACTGAAACTCTGACGGAGCCGAGAGCGTACCGCCCCTTCCCTGCACATCACCCTGACCTATCCATGCTGCACAGGGAGTGGTCGGTGATGGAGGCTGATGCTTGGGCTCTGGCCCTGGCTGGATGGGCTTACCCTTGTTTCCCAAGGACTTTCGCCCTTTCTCTTGCTCCTACCTTTGGGGTGGGTTAACTCACCATCACACCAAAGGACTTCAGCCTTGGCAGTGATTCATCTAGTTAGGCCCCAAATGGGAGGGAGGTTTAGACAGTTTGGAATCAGGGAAAGTAACGACCTTGATTTGTCTCTGAAAGCTTGTTCTGTCTACCATTACAGACCTTTGCTTATATAATTATCATGTGGCAAATAAGAGATGGGTTCTAGTCAAGAGTGCAGCATACACTGGGGGTGCTTATGAAATGAATTTCAGTTCCTCAGGTGGAGCTATTTCTCCATCAATTCTGATAGAATTGGCCAGAAGTTTCTATATAAAATGGTTTTAATCCAGGAAGGTTTTGATCTAGGGAGGTTGTGCTACCTGTTTTCTGGAGGTTTTGCTGGACTCTCTCAGGGGCAGCCATGTGAGGTGTGGGGGGAGGAGGATTGGCAGCAGGCTGCCAGATCCCCACCCCAATTCACCCAGAGTGGTTCCGTACTTATCTGTTCTCAGTACTGGGCTACGCTGTATGTTTCTCTTTCAAACAAGGGTTTCATGTCTAAAAGACATTTGAAAAGCACTGTTTCATGGGAGAGGTATCAGAAGACTGATGACCAAGGGAGGAACCTGGGAGCTAAGGATGAAAAACAAGTCCCTGGGGGTTTACCCTGACCCAAAGACCGGGGAAGGGAGAGAAGATGGAAGAAAGAGTGGGTTGAGGCATAGAAGGGTGGGTGATAAAGGCTGCCTTGAATGGGGCTTTAGCATTTATTGCTAATGAGGACAGCCATACCTGACCCAGGGTCCTGCCAGGACCTGCCGGGGCCCGAGCCAGCCACAGGGCAGCACGTAGCCCAGACACTGTTGGTGGGGGGGTCATCTCCTAACCTCCCCTGACAATTTTATAACATATTTTCAAATTCCTCACTCCACAGAATTCAACACATGGGGGAAGGCTGCATTTTCTAATATGCTACGTCGTACTTCACAGAATAAATGTATGAAAGTTAACTGAAGGCAAGGCTTATCTTATGGACAGAAAAGCCTATTACATTATAGGCTATAGGTATAAAATTAGATATACAGCTACAGAAAATGGAACAGTGTTAGTCACAGACTTCAGGGGAAAACATGACTAAGAAGAAGGATCTAGGAGTTGATGCCTAGAAGTTCTCTAATCATTGGCAGAAAATCTTGTTTTTCATGGTTCCTGCCTCCACTCCTGGCTCCTGCTACGACCTACTTCTGGGAAGAGGATATTTCGCAGATTTGTGGATTTCCCTGATGTTCTGTGCAGGTACCAGAATTTTGTCCTGCTCTTTCTTTATCAGGCATTTAGAATGACCAGTGGAGTTATATGTCATTCTATAGTTTACTATTAGCCCTTAACTACTTTGGATCGAACAGCATAAATGTCCCTAAATCAATATAAACTACAGTAACGTGACCATTTACTGTGATTTTACTCTGTGCCAGGCCTTATGTGCTTTACATACAGAGTCAAGCTGCGCAAAATGAATTAACTTTCCCATTTCATTATTTTATACGATTGAAATACCACGTTGATTTTTTTTAAAGGATGAGCATTTGTATTTCTAAATTTAATTTTAATTTCATTAGGCAAGTATAATGAGGAACAAAGACTCTACCATGATCCATTCTTTTACATGTCTCGTTACACATATGCAGAGCACATAATAGGTGCTCACAAATATTTGTTGGTGGATCCAAATTAAAGGCATGTATTTATTTTTTGATTTCCCTTTTATTTCCTTTCTGTCAGATTTAGCCAGCATAGTTTTGCTTGCCTTTCATATGAAGATTAAAAGAGATGGTTACTGAAACCACCATCTTAGCTCTGAGGATAGGAGAATCCCATTTCTGTTACATCTCTAGAACAAGAAGTTAAGAGTTACAGCAGCGTGCCAGAATCCTAACCCCTCAAAATTGCAAAATAGAAAAGATCAATGTTGCCCAATTATAAAATGTTAAATGTTTGAAAATATGTAACCCTTCAGTACACAAGGTGACTGTGTTATCTTTTGGTCAGTTGAGATGACTTATTGATCATAAAACCAGTCTAGTATATAAAAGTCTACTACAGGCTTTCTGTAACCTCAAAAAATGTTCAAAATTATTCTTGACCAGAAAAAAGGTACAGGTTCTATTTTTACTAAGTCTGTAGCATTCAGGGGACCCATACAAGGCAGGTTGATCATCTTGCACTGAGTTATATTATCCCTCTAATCCTGCACTTTACATTGTAACACAAAGAACTACAGCACTGGGTGTGGATTTAAACTAGCCACTTCAAATATCAGAGACACTGATTTTTTTCTTCCCCACCTTCTATTTCAAAAACAAGGTTATGGAAAGCCTAAACAATCAGTTCTGATCAACGAATACTGGATGAAGAAGGTTCAATTAAACTTAAAAGCCTTAGTATGGAATGTTTAATTTGGCTTATCTATTCAAAGGAAAAAGCACCATTCTTAAGATCAGCTAATGATACCTGTGGGTACCCCACCTCACTAAAGTAGTAATAAAACAATGTTCTCCCCACTTAGTCTGTCTAGGCCTTCATTTAATGGGTCAGGAAGAATGTTGCTAGAGCAGTAAATAATGAATAGTAAATACACCAACTCCCAGATGTGGCAAGACTGTTGAGAAAATAGAGAGCCACAGAATTAGCATCCTCATCAACATAATAAACCTCCAGCTCCTACATCCTCATGCAAAGTTTGCTTCAAAAATATTTAGCAGCATACTCCATTATCCCCTGGTTTCTAAAGAGAAAGTTAAAAATAAACTATAATTTCATTTAGGAAGCTTGAGGTTTTTATTTAATTTAAGGCAATTAGCTATTTGTTGTGAGGACTAAGAATATACACATACAAACTAATTTAGAAAATATTAGAGAATTTCATGCATATTATTGTAGAAAAAGCTGCTTCTTCTCTACCGCAGGAAAAAGTACACGCAATTATGAGTAACCAATAATCACAAATGAAATACTCCCATGAAAGATGAAAGTTCATTTTCCCCACAAAGAATGAATAAAGTAATTAAAATACTATTTCACATAAATCCTACACTGTAGAACTTTGAAAGAGCTCAAATTTAAAAGTAGCTTTATAGCTATTCTAACAACCAACTGATAATTTTATGGTCAAATTAGAAACCGATTTTACTGATTAATTAAAACAATAGCACTATTTGAAAAAATGTATTTCTTAATGGACATTAAAAACCAACCAAACAACATTTGGAAAATATTATTTCTCTGGTAGCAGAAATATGTAACACCTTACACAGTTGTTTCTCTTTCTGATATGAAAGAAGTCTAGAAGCATTAATTTTTACATAGCATTCAATTTATGTCCAGTTTCCTTGTTATAAAAACCCCCACAAATGCTTGTGGACATTGCAAAAAGAAAAATAAAATAGCCAAAAGAACTTTAAACAGCACTACCAGACATGTTCCTGCATTTTCTTCCCCAAGTTAGCCTTATTCTGTGTCTGTTGTTGATGTGCTTCTGTCACTCTTGCTCTTTCACAAGATGTCCATGAGGTAAAGAGAACTACCCAAGACTTAGGGGGCATGGAGAGTATTACGTCAGAGAACAGAGGATGAGGCATTCCGGCACAAAGCGAGCGTCATGACAGGTCACTCTCATGCCTCTGCTTCAGCTCTGATATATGCGCTCACTCCCCCACCTTCTCCAGCTGTGTGCTCCTTGGAACATGCTTGTGTTGGGATACCCACCCTGCAAACATTCTTGATAAGTCAGCATACAAATATTAGGCTAATAGTGAAAATATAAAACATCAAGGCTTCAGATTGCATATGAAGGTCTGAGTGTGTGTGCATCTTGCAAACTCGGTCTGTGGACAACAAGGCAGGAATGTGGGCTTCTGAAGTTAGGGCCACTGCCTGCTCCTAGCGCATGCCTCCATTATTATCCCCCTAGACAATCTTTGGCTCAAACACTCACGATCTAGCAAATACACTTCTCCATTTCTTCTCATTGAAGCTGCCCCTGAAGCTCTCCCCTAACCCCTGTAAGGTTTTTATAAACCTAAGGCTTTCTGTTGGGAAGTCAGTAATGTCATGACTCTATGGCTATTACCTCTGGTCCCAATATGGCCTCCTAGGTCCCTGTCCATGCAAGCAGTGCAGCTCAGGCCTTTCAGATACATGTTACTTGTACCCAAGTGTGGTGTAGATCTGTGCTGCCCAACAGAGGAGTTATCAGCCAGATGTGGCCAGTCCAAATTGAGACATGCTAGAAATGTAAAATATATAGTGGAGTATGAAGACTTGGTATGAAAGAAATGAATGTAAAACCTCATATTAATAATCTTTATATTGCTCATAAATTATTTTAGAAGAATTGGGTTAAATAAACTACATTTTTAAAATAAATAATACCTGTTCCCTTTCCTTTTTCATGTGGCTACTAGGAAATTCAGAATTAAATGTGCCCGACATTAAGCGTCTACTGGGAAGTGCCAGGGGAGGTACTTGTTCACGTCATGCCAGCATCTAAGGGAGACATGGAGGTGAGCCCTCTGCTCTCAGAGGCCTTGCCACAAACAGCTACAACAGAAGGCAGCCGTCACAAGGCATCCCAGAGTGGCAAGAGCAAGAAGCACAGCTCGCATGTCATTTGTGCTAGGCTTTCCACACCCACCGACACGCCAAGCCACAGGTACTGGGTTTATCACTGGG